ATTTACGAGTATAAGTGTAATAAAGGAGACTGCGAGCTCCTGGCAAACGCCTACTACAGCCTCATACATCGGAATGACTACCACAACCCTGTTACGACGCCTAACAATGCACCTACAAAATGGAGCCATCAAAGAACATTGTGCCCGCATCCACAACCAAAAACTCGCATGTCAGGACCTAGTACAAAACACCAAAGTAAACCGCCGATTTAACGACTTCTTAACTCTTCAAATACACGAAGCAATAAAAATCCTACAACAAACTCCCATAATCAACAAACAATCAACAGGAACAGCATGCACACTGCTACTTCTTGGCCAGAAAGTGAAGGAAAGTGTGACAAACAAAGAAATACAAACTAGAGAGAGTCTGTGGATACACTAGGTTGTTTCAAAGGCAAATCAGGTTTCTTGTCATGTTAGTGCCAAGTGAGAACGAAATAATTAAAAATGATTGATATACATTATAGCCAACTGGATATTTAAGTACATTTACTTAATGTCGAACGCTTTATTATCACCCTCATCTAATTTAGAACTGACTTTTGCTGCCATAATAGGATATTCAGCGTATCATGTATATTCCAGAAGGTGAAAGGAGGTCTTTAGTGGACTGTAGCACATTTGTCAAAGAGTATGATTTGCAATTGGTTAATAGATGTCAGAGGATTATGGTGGCAAATGCAACGTTCAAGTTCACCCAAGAGGTACTCAATCGGATTGAGGTCTGGTGATTTTGCATATTGAGGAAGATACACTTTTCATACTCTCCAGGTCACTTTAAACAAATTTGGGGCACGATTGTTTGTTGCCTTATAGTCTTGGAGAGCCCTTGTTAAGAGTCGAAATGTAGTATTATGGAGTTAAGATGAACAACAGTAACCTCCAGGTGTGTGTGGGTAATATGCACCTTTTCGGAGGAATAAAAAGACCAATTCTTTGCCGCGAGATTATTCTCTATGAAATTACGCTATCTTAAAAACGCGCTAGGCACTCAAGCTTTTGGTGCTTTATAAAAGTGACAGTAAAGTCCCACTATTTGGTCAAGCAAAAGTAGCCCAAGAGTTGGC